TTCGGGGGGCGGGAAAAAAAACGTGTTCGTCAGAATCGTCACTTCCTGTACTGAGAGTGGAGGTGTCCTGAGAGTGCAGCCTGCACCGGAACTGTCCTGTCAGAGGAGGCCTGCAGGCAGACCCCTCTAAAGGGTTTTGGGTTTTGCACTGTGTGTCCATACAGATACAGTACATAGTGTTTCTGGCTGTCTCTGGAGCACATGCTTTGTTTCCTCTGTCAATGCAATTCTTTGCTCAAATCCTATGGTGTTTATATCTGTAAGTACCATACCATCTATTGTCTGTCCATACTTGCCTGCACACTTAAACTGATTAAATGCAAAACACTTTGAAACAATGAATGATGCTAAATGTGTTAGCCTGTGAGCAGCAGTTGAAATGTTTGTAGAAAGTAGTATTTATGCTAACAGGTACTCTGCTGTTTAGAATGTTTGTTCAGTCTTGTGAATTTGTGTTTAGTGTTTAATGTGACAACGTCTCATGACTGTTTGTTTTGTTTTTGTTTGTATTTCAGTTCAGAAACTGACCTGCTGTCTCCTGGGTGTGTATTGCTGACCTTGTTAAACTATCTGCCAAGCCTGCAATCTCTAAATATTCTGGTAAGGGCAGAATAAGACGTCTGTTCCTCTCACTTTCAGATATTTATATATGTAAAACACGTCTTTTTCAAAGCACCCACCCTCAGTGGAAGTCTACGCTCTCCATTTAACTCCATTTGATCCCATCTTATAAGATAAAGAGGCTTGCTTAAAGAGGGGTTCTCTATAAGGTGTTGAAACTTTAAGGTCCTGAGGAATCCGTGGTGACATGAGTTCACATCCCAACAGCTGCTTCTCCTGACCCTTCTAGTGACTGCAGTCGTGACCCACCGGTTTCACATTCTCAGTGTGGGAAGGAAAAATACACTCTTACAAATCCAACACACATCCTTCCCGTGTGTCATGAACCTTTTAACGCTAGCTCTCTGGATTAGACGTTGAAAAAGAGGAACTGGCAAAGGGCCAGTAGGACTATTTATATAGAAGAGTTGGTAGACTCTGACAATCAAGGGTGGGGCTGACATACAATGGATGGAAGTAAAGGGCTCTGAAACGAGACAGAGTACAACATGGAAGTACAGCCAATAGGAGGACGAGATGTTATTATGTTCAGGAAGTAAACAAAGGAGGCGTTTCACACTGGGGAGGGAACACAAGGATTTTAGCCTTTGCAGACCATTTACATACACCGAAACCAATGATGGACACCAATGCCTCTGAGAATATATTCTTTGTGATTCTTAAAGGTCCCATTTCCACTGATCATATTTCCTTTGTTGAGGTCTACTAGAATAGATTTATATTGTTCAATGTTCCAAACTCACATTGGTTTCTCATCCAGCATCTCTGTATAGTATGTGTATTCTCTGTTGGAGCTCCGCCTCCCCCCATCCCTGTGAGCCCACTGTGCTCTGATTGGTCGGGACGTTGCGAGGCTCGTTGCTGCGAGGAGCGGACAGGTTTCCGGGTCGGCGATACAGCGAGAACAAGCGAAACTCATCCTGAGCACACACAAACACTCACAGCCGAAGTAAAAACAATAAGTGTGGCTTGATATTGAGTCAGAAAAAGGTTTGTAACGCTGTGAGAATGGGTCTGCAGAGAGCATTTCTCCACCATCCCAACTCGTCTATTACCAACCAGGGAGCTCTATGGAAGTCAATGGGACTCCCTGATAGTTAGCCAAGGGACCCTGGTGTGGGTCCTGGTCCATTTGGGCCAATCCGGTCATTTGTTGTTGATTTGGGTGTTCACGAGCATGACACGGGCCCTTTAACAATAATTAGAAATACATGATTTCTCACACTGCATGGGTTACACTTATCAACATTTGGTAAGAATAGTTTTTCACCTTAGGACTTTCAGGTTTGAGTTATGTCAATTAACTTTGAGAATCTATAAACATGTTAAGACTAAACAAGACTGGGAGACTGTGGTGCAGTGGGTTAGTGCGTTGGTGTTGGGATCAGGGGGGCACAGGTTCAAACCCCACTGCATGTCGTTGTGTCCCTGAGACACTTCACCCCAAAGTGCTCCTGTGGGGATTGTCCACAGTGTTGAGTATGTAAGTCACTTTCGATAAAAGCGTCTAACAAGTGACATGTCATGTAACTAAACTTTGGAGTTTGAAAATCATTCTTTGCCCTGTAGTTTGGCAACCTGTGGCCTCAAGCGACATTAGTAAAGCTTTGGTTTCCTAGCCACAGAACTACAGCACATTCAGACTAAATAAACGTGATAATCGTCTCATGGATCCTCAATGAGCTCTTCTTACCTTTAGCTGTGTTTTGCACATCTGTTATTTATGTTTAATATGCTGTTCATCGCCCTCGCTGTACCCTGAACATCTGGGTCTCTCCCAATCTTTCCGTGCTGCTACTCTGCTCAGTTTGTATGTCTATGGAGATGTTTTGGTACAGTCTATCATCGTGACCTTGTTTGACTGCAAATACAAACTCCATTTGTCTAAAAATGCTATTTCTTGATATGCTTGATTTCTCTCTTGTCTTGTCCTTGCGTCTTAGTCCCCTCTACTGAAGATGCAAGGATACAAGTTAGGTCAATGGGAGGGAATTGGGATGTACCAAGGGGCTATAATCCTAATCTACTTTGCACTTTAATACAAAAAGAAAGGCATTATGATTTGTTCAAACCTACAGTATATCATCAATTTGCTTGTGATCCCACTCCTGACACATCTGACTGTAATGCTTCCTTCTTTATTGACAAGAAAAGGGAAGCGTATCACAAATTGAAATGAACCTTCATTATGATGAAATAGTCTACCGAACACTAGGCCTCTTAATTACACATCAAACCCGTCACGCCCTTTATATTTCCACTGATGAATAGATGATGTCAAGTTATTTTAAAGGTGAGCAGAAGTCGTCTAGATTAATCAACAAACATTAGATCATTTTGAAGGGTGATGAGTCATTGGGGCGTATTCACGTCAATCATAGCACGGTAAAATGTTTGTCCAAATAAAGAAAATCAAAATTTAAAAAAAATCAAATTCAAAAAGCTTTTATTGTCATTGTACAGAATACAACGAGATTTATAGTCACTGCTCCAGCGAGTGCTTTGAAAACAGATATATTAAAACACAGATTAAAAGGTCTGACAGTTACGACCAGCAAGTAGTGCACACAGCTTCGATTAATAAATAAATAAAATAGAATTATGATCAAATATATATGATAAATATTACGGTGTATACATAGAGACAGATCATGATTATTGCACAGTGGGGATATGGGGAGTTGTTTTTGTGTGTTTAATGTCCTAATGGCCCATGGGAAGGAACTGTTTGTGAATCTGGAGGGGCGGGCTTTCAGTGAACGGTAGCGCCGGCCCGAGGGCAGCAGGTCTTGGTAGAGAATAGATTCGATTCGAATTGTATTTCCCGTTGGGTAAGAATGTTTTTCGATTCGATTCGCTTTAACAATTCGAATTTAGATCCGATTCTTAAATACCGTTTAACGCCCGAAGGGAGTTTTTAAAATTTTTAGAAATTCTTACTTTTTTGTTTTGACTTTCGTGTTTATTAACTAGTATTTAGTATAGTAGTAGCCCCAAGCAAGAGTCCTCACTACTCTTCGGCATAAATCTCTCCTCCAGACGCTTTGACTGACTCACCACGCGGCGCAGGTCGTTCGATGACCGATTTGAGTTATTTTTGCGTTATTGTAATAATAGCTGAAAGTCCGTCTTGTGGTCGTATCTCTGTGCGGGGGGCAGATGTAATTGCCCCTGCCACAATCTCTCCCACGAGTAAAATTGTAAAGGACCAAGTCAGGTGTGAGAGGTCCGTCGGAGTGGACGCGAGGTGTTTGTGGTGCCGTGCACTATTTCTTACGGGTCGTCGCTGACATGAAGGACTCCTGACGAGTCTTCATTGTAGACTTGTCTTCGACGACGCACTGGAAGATAGCGCAGATGTCAACTCTCGCAGCTGAAGTGTATGGACGAGTAGAGACGACCATACGTCCCACGAGCGCGACGGCTGTCCCTTCCGAGACGTCTCCCAGTAATTGGTGCCGGTCTCTAATCAACGACGGGGAGGGACCTTCTGTAGTGGTCGAGAGCGACGGAGTCCTCGCTGTCAAGGTAGGAACTTCCTGAGTAGGGTGGGTCGGGCAGTAGACAAGCTGGACGGNNNGGGGGGAGGGGGGGGGCGTCCTAATCCTTCTGTCTGGGTCACATGTCCCTACAGGGGATATAAGGGACTCACCTGTCGATGCAGGCGACCGTCTGACACTGAGGGGAGGGGGCAGAGGACGTAGGCGATTGGCCGGCTGTAATGGGGGGGTTGAGGGGGGGCTGCTCATGGTCCAGTAGGATGGAGTTGATGAAGGTGGTTGGGGAGAGGGGCGTGTCCACAGGTGAGTCAACAGGATTGGACGGCTCCTCTTTGACCTCCACTGATTGGCTCTCCCTGCAACAGGAAGAGGATTTGCTGTAAGTGACGGACCAATCTGAGGAGGCGAAATGAAGGCTGCTCATTGGCCGACAAGCTTCAAAACAGAATGATTTGATTGGTTCTCACCCTGAATCTGACCAATCACTGAGCACACTGTCGGCTGGGGGCGTGGCCACATCTGTGAGGTCTGAGATGATTGGTCCAGAGGTGAGGGGGGGGTCAGCTGGGAACAGACTGGCTGCAGCCTGAGAACACAAACCCTGCAGGTGAAGGGAGACACACACACACACACACACACACACACACACACACACACACACACACACACACACACACACACACACACACACACACACACACACACACACACACACACACACCAACTACCTACCTGCTCCAATGAGAACGGCCGACTGTATTTGGGCAGGGAGTGGGCGGAGCTAGAGTCATTCAGCATCAGAGGACTGCAGACAGGAAGTACAAGTACATTTAGTTACAAGTATTAATACAAACACGGTAAATATTTATGAATACTAGGGATAAAGACAATAAAACGTGTGGGAAGCAGAAATCCTGCAGCTCCGCCCGCTGACGGACGGACGGACGCTGACGGACCGGTGAGCAGAGCGAAACACACACCAAGAGTTAGACCTAACAAACTTAGCTAGTTTAAGCTTTCAAATTCAAAAATGAAATTCAAAAGCTTTTATTGTCATTGGCAGAATACAACGAGATCTATAGTCACTGCTCCAGCGAGTGCTTTGAAAACAGACATATTAAAACACAGATTAAAAGGTCTGACAGTTACGACCAGCATGTAGCGCACACAGCTTCGGATCGTCATGTAGATGAGCAGGATTAATAAATAAATGAGTAAAATAGAATTATGATAAAACATATGATAAATATTACAGTGTATACATAGAGACAGATCATGGTTATTGCACAGTGGGGATATGGGGAGTTGTTTCTGTGTGTTTAATGTCCTAATGGCCCATGGGAAGAAACTGTTTGTGAATCTGGAGGTGCGGGCTTTCAGTGAACGGTAGCACCGGCCCGAGGGCAGCAGGTCGAACAGATGACGGGCTGGGTGGGATGAGTCCTTCAGGATGGAACTGGTCCTCCTGAGGCAGCGAGAGCTGGTGATGTCTTCCAGGGAGGGCAGCCAATAATCCTCTGGGCCGTGTTAATGACCCTCTGCAGAGCCTTCCTGTCGGCAGCCGAGCACCCTGCATACCAAGCAGAGATGCAGTGAGGACGCTCTCAACTGTAGAGCGATAGAAGGTCACCAGCAGCTTCTGGTTCAGATGGTTCTTCCTGAGCAGTCTCAGTGTCACTGCCGTGGTGTTTGTGGACCAGGTGAGCTCCTGGGAGATGTGGACTCCCAAGAATTTAAATGAAGGCACCCTCTCAACACAGTCCCCGTTAATGTAGAGGGGGGCGTGGTCTATGCTGGTTCTCCTGAAATCGATAATAATTTATTTTGTTTTTATTGAGTTTAGCAGTAGCTTGCTGACCGCGCACCACTCAGTCAGTTTCCGGACCTCCTCTCTATAGGCTGTCTCATCACCTCCTGAGACGAGCCCGATGACGGTATGATTTAATGATCATATTTTTCCTTCCAGTTTTGTTCATTCTTAAGATTTTAAATTATGAGAGCCCGCAATTTGGCCATATCTAGCTAGATAGCTAACATTCGCTAGCTAGCTTGTAAGATGGGTTGCTTATGTAAGCTAGCTAGATAGAGATGGTTAGCAAGCTTGTCAAGGAGATAGGTAACATTCGCTGGCTTTTTAACTAGATAACTAACATTTTAGCTTTTTTAGTAGGTAGCTAACATTCGCTAGCTTGTTAAGTAGATAAATAACTTGTGTTAGCTTGTAAACTAGATAGTTTACTTTCGCTACCTTTTTAAGTAGATAACTAAAACAAATTAGTAGATAGCTAACATTCGCTAGCTCGTTTGATAGATGGAATAATTGGACAGATCTATGGGATCATAGAAGCTCATCTCCTCAAATCTAATTTGAAACGTAACATATGAGCATCTGGAGTTTCACTGATCTGAAAAAAAACCTAGTTTCGGAAATATATTTGCATTTAATTCACTATTGAGCATCCCACCAGGGCTGCAGGTTAAGAAATAGGACTGCTTTTTTCTCTGAGGCAAAGCCGACATGTAGACCCATAAACATGGAAGCCCTCTTTTGGGGGATCTGAAAAAAACAATATGTTGATTCTTCCTATGCCTCTGGCCTCATTTACACGATAACATGTCTCAATCATTGAAAAATGTAAATGTAAATCAAGTGGAAGGTCATGGGGACAATCTGGTCTTTAGGACACACATACGGAGAGCTGTTATCCAGTCAGCTGTTTTTTTAGGTTCCTGAGATTAAGATGTCAATTGTAATGTGAGGGAGGCGTTCATGGTGATCCAAGATCTGCAACCCTGCTCATTGAGGCATAACAAATGTTGGGCTAAAGACAGTTTTCCACAGTAAATATAGAGACAGGGATGTTTCATCGCTGCCAGTGCATGACAAACCTTTTTTGGTCATTTTTTATGTTTTGAACTTCAATTGAAGGACACTCAAGTGAATAGACTGTAGCAGAGCCTCCAAACTGTATGGGTTATTATTCTTCCCAGTGAAAAAGACTGGCACTTGCAGTGTTTCATAGGTCACTGGTAATGTGCTGGACTAAATATAGTCCTGAATATTGTGTGGTGGAGCATTTTTTTTTGCTTCAATATTGATGCAGAAAAATGGCTTGGAAATAACTCACGGGTCCAAATAATGTCCATAGCTCCAACATCTGGAACAACTGCCACTTCAAGTTGACTGGTTTATTATAATGCCATCCAAAACCAGGGTTTTCTTTTAGATCTAAAATGCGTTAAGTTTTGGAAACAATACTTCGGCCCTGAGCTTTTTTCCAAGCTATATTATTGGTAATGGTAAGTAAACCCAGGTATACTATTGGTAATTTTAAGTTAACCTATTGGTAATGGTAAGTTAACCTATTGGTAATGGTAAGTTAACTTATTGGTCATGATAAGTTTAACCAGCTATATCATTGGTAATGGTAAGTTAACCTATTGTTAATGGTAAGTTAACCTATTGGTAATGGTAA